GGATTAAATCTGTTAGCTTCGCTGCCACCAAACTGAAAACTTTACAACCGAGCAGACAAGGGCAGCACTTGAGAGGCTTTGATTTCTCTAGTCAGTCCCATAAACTCACATTAAAAGCAAGGATGATCACAATGTATGACAACAGTGTGGGCAGACAGTGTTTAAAGCAATGCTTCCCCATCCCTGTTGATCGTTGAACATGGCATAGTATTTGTAGAGGCAAGCTTTGATGGCCTGAATTTACTATACATGTCAAATAAAAGCTCCTTGGAAAATGAGATAATCTTCAAAGAACCTAATTAGAATAGAGGACCGTCTTCAAAAGAAGGTCAAGTCCAAATCCAGATATTTCTCGACTTAAAGCAGGGCTCATCTGATCCTTCAGGCTTGAATTCTGTGTGTCTCCTGCACACCGGTGCAGACCAGAGGCTTTGATGTAATGGTATCATAACACATGCTGTTTACACGCTGTTCCCCAGTCACTGCAAAATGCCTTATTTGGCATTCTCTGTTGAACCCCTGCTTGCATAAACCACAAACAGGACATTGACAATGAACTTTAGAAGCATTATGCGGACCAACATTAGCTATATGTATCGTGTTTCCATAATATTATAAAATCCGTCCATTGTCCAGAGCTGAGATTTGCAGAGATGTCACAATGGTTGTTGAAATGATAATGGGGGAAACATCATTATTCCTCCATATCTTATTTTTTCACCATTCGAGTAGCCACAAGGTAGATCTACTTAGCAGCAGGAGGGGCTTTTCACTCGTCCACCTCCCCTGCTTTGGCTCTCAGGGGTAAATGGGGCAGAATGAGAGAGAAGATTGCAGGGGAGATCCCGATATGGAGAATACAATTACTCACAATGCCAATGATCAGTGGGAGAGAACGCAAAGCATCATGGGGTGAGTTTACCAGCCCGGCCTTTGATGTCAGAGCATTATAAACTCTACAAAGTATAAGGTATCAGCGATGAGAGTTAGTAGGCATGTGTTTATTTGTGCTCAAAAGCAAAAATAAACACTGAAATCTCAGGACACATAATACCTTAGAGTAGTATTTTTTGTATAACAAGGCCTCCCTTACCATTTCATAAGAGGGTATCCACATGTGTTTGAGATATTGAAGGATAAATACCACTCTTATGTTTGTTTAATAAATGTGGTACAGCCACAATCAAGGAAGCAGTTGTCCAATCACAATAGAGCCGGCCAGCTAACCAATCAGAGCAGACTGGGCTCTGGTTTCAGACAGAGGGTGAAAAGAGGTGCTGCAGCACAGGCAGAATACAAATATGAACCTACAAATGAGCATAATAGGGCCCCTTTAACAACAAAACCTGATGCTGTTTAAGTCATTGTAAGCAAAGTATTGCAGCTGCTGCTATAGGGAAAAAGCTGTTTTCATTGTCTTATTTTCTGTGATGCTATTTCAAACCTTTTCATTACCCCAAATCGCTCCAAATCTGCCTCTGATCCAAACTTAACTACCTTCATCACTCACTGTAAATAGTAGCCAATGTAACTCAGGTCAATGTTACCTTATCCTTACATCACCCCAAAACAATGTTGAGACAAAAATAATCTGAGAAACAACTTCCAGAAAAACAACCCTCAACATGGCCCCTGTCACTTTATCTCTTCCTCTCATCTTTTCCCCTCTTGCTTTTGCTCTTTCCTGATGAAGACAGACAGATAGCCATCCTACATGTGTCGACACGCCACAGGGGACGTCACTGCAGGGAGCGTGGAGAAAACAACTTAATACAGACTTGTTGTTACTAAACACCATCTTAATCTGTGTTTACTTCATCTACAAACACTGGGTCAAAGTCTCAGACACAAACCAAAGACATGCAAAGTCAGACTGGGTAATTAACTCCTTCTTATGTCTGCCTGTGCTACGTGTGATTTGACTTAAACAGATTCATTTTGGACCCCCTTCTGACATTCTTTGACATATTGCACCCCCTAAAATTACCTTCCGAAAAAGGAAACCTCAATAACATTTAACCAGAACCTCTGCCAATATTATTCTTCGACAACTTCAAAGCGGGGGAGAGGATATTGGAGCCCGAGCAAGAGACCAGAGGAGATAGTGTGTGTGTGTGTGTGTGTGTGTGTGTGTGTGTGTGTGTGTGTGTGTGTGTGTGTGTGTGTGTGTGTGTGTGTGTGTGTGTGTGTGTGTGTGTGTGTGTGTGTGTGTGTGTGTGTGTGTGTGTGTGTGTGTGTGTGTGTGTGTGTGTGTGTGTGTGTAGTAGTGTGTAGTCGTACGTACGTCGTGTGTGTGTGTGTGTGTGTGTGTGTGTGTGTGTGTGTGTGTGTGTGTGTGTGTGTGTGTGTGTGTGTGTGTGTGTGTAGAGTTCAGTGTGGCCTTTTCAGTCAGTCTGACAGTCTCTGAAGTACAGCTGCCTAAAGCCATGAGCCACTCCTTCATATCCATCATATTCACATTTTCTTTGAAGCTCTATCTATCTCCCTACCTTTGTCCACACTGTGCAAAACCCCAATTCTTCCTCACACCACTAGGGGTCCCTGTGCACATAATAAACAAAACACTTCCAGCCTCACTAGACACTATCTCTGTCACATTTCCCTTTTCATGTAGCAGTAACAGAAGTAGCACCTCTCTCATTACATACCAATAGACATTCATGATGCTGAGTGAATGTTGGGGTTTTGTGGCAGGACTTCTGCACAACATCAGACGGACATACAGCAGCGAAGGACAAGTAGACACAGGATCCTAAGAGCTTCAGGGCCACACAAATTAAGAGGGTCTCTTTTCCCTCGTCCTTACCTCCCATAATGGTTACAATCTGTACGAGGGAAAGCCAAATGAAAGTGTTGGAACGCATCAGTATCGGCAGTTGCAGATACACTTTTTGAAGATCGGGTTCTTTAAATGTCTCTCTGTAACGCCTCCCCAGATGTGCGTCCTGTAGGTGGATGTTTCTGCGGTCTGCTAACAGAACATTAACTTTTAAGTCTTCTTTCGTCCCCGGCTATATGTGCACTATGCTGTAAGCGCTGGCTCCCGTCCAGGAATCTCCTGCAGCCAGCCGCTCATAAGCCCCTCTCCTAACCGGCCAAGAATGTGGAAAAGCTCCTTCAAAGAGAAGCCCAGTGTAAGGTGTGGTTAAAGCAAGTACCTGAGTCCACAGGTGGCCGTAAGAGAGCAGATGAAACCCCTGAAATCCCACACCTGTCCCAGAGAGAGGAGAGGAAACAAGGGTACACAGATGGGATTAGATCAACATGGTGCTTTTGCTATCAAAAAACATCTGAGGCTAGCTATTGTTCAGATGTGTAAAAAACCAAGACATATTGACTCTTCAGCCTTTCCGATTCCCAGAGCTTGATGAATGGTGCCCAATAAAAAAGTCAAAGGGTCAAAGGGCAGGAGTGTCAGAGTTTTACAACGTGAAACTGTGTTTAAAGACAAGCTGATCAAAGACGCTCTGCAGAAACGCCCCAATCTGCCTCATCTGAGCGCAGAATACAATGAGCGTACAGGGACGGTGCAACAAAGCCGCCCAGTAACAGGAGTGAGGTGGAGTGGTGAGAAGAGGAGTGGGGAACAGGGCTGAGGACAAAGAGCTGCTTGTCCAGGGTCTGTCTGCCGTCAGTCTGCAGGGAGGGGCCCGGTGCCACTTGTTTGAGGGGTCTCCATGATAAATGTCCCACTACTTGACTCTGTCACATGTCTGCCACTTGGACAATAACTGAGGTCATGGCGGAGTAGTGGAGCGTTGACACGGTGGCCTGCAGCGAGAGAGGCCACTTTCTCTCAACACCAGCGCTTATTTCAGATCCGCCCGCTCCACATCATGACTAATAAGTCTTAAGAAGAGTGCTGGAGTGAAAATAAATAAAACACTTCTCACAGTTGTCTTTACTTGGACCTGTTTATTTGCGGACATTAATCATGCATATAAGGGCTCATGCTCTCAGAGCCTCATACACATGTACTGCTGCGGGGTTGTCAAACAGAGAAGGACAGAGATAGATGTTATCCTCCTGGAGAGGAAGCACATGACAACATGTGAAATATTGCTCATTTACATCTTTGGAATGACTCTGTTGAAAACAAAACAAACAACTCTGGGCTCATGTTTATGCCACCTGGATGTTCTTGGTGACAGTTTTCTTGAAAGGAACAAGCTTCAGCGGCAGCATTATACACCGTAGAAATTGTTACAGCTAAACATTTCAAATATTGAGGCAAAAGTTTCAAAGCATGTTCGGGAGTCGGTTGACCTTCTGCATATTTTGAGTTTGAGTGGTTTGCCTGGATATTTTAGGGGAATATCGCTCAATGCACAGTGGTTATAATAATGCGAAAAAACACAATGAAAATGCAGAGAAATCAGACTTCTCAAACATTTTGGACCTAATAAAAAAATAAATGTTAAAAAATTATAATAATAATTAAAAATAATTATTAATGTGTTTTATTAATATAAGTATTATCACTGTTATTATATTAAGAATAATAATACAAATAATAATAAGTATTGCTATTATAATAATAAAACGAAATTATACATAAAAATACAAATAATAAGTATTCATATATTATTATAATTATAAATACCAGTAGGCTAAACATGTCCCGTCTAAATGAATAGATTGCTTAATCTGTTTATTTCTTAACCATGGGAATATGAAATAATTCAACTAAACAGAAAAAAAAAGTTTGAAATGCTTTCATTATTATTTAAATGATAGCACTGCTGACGATACAGCAACACTCATTCAGCTCTGCTCTCTGGTCGGGTCTCTCTGGGGGGTATAATCAGGCAAACCTGTCATCCCTCTCTCAACCTGCGCTCCCTTCTCTTAAAAGAAGCAGTTTGTGTGTGTTTGAGTGTGTGTTTGAGTGCGTGTGTGTGTGTGTGTGTGTGTGTGTGTGTGTGTGTGTGTGTGTGTGTGAGTGTGTGTGTGTGTGAGTGTGTGTTTGTGTGTGTGTTGGGGTGGGTTAGGGGGGTTCTCAAGTCGTCCCACCTCCCTCTCTCACAGTCAAGACGCTCCAAAGTTGCGGAGCGCTCCGCGGAAACTCTCCAAAGGGTTTTCAGCTTCAGAGCTGCACCGAGTTTACGGAGACAGAAAAAAAGTTTCAGGAAAAACTTAACTAAGCCTCGGGAGTATCGAAGGGGCGGAATGGTCCTCCAGCCGCGCGGCACATGTGAGCCAAGAGGCCACCGGTAAAGTGTTTTTATTTCAAAGGAGACGGGGAAAGTAAGAAACGAGCCGGTAGGAGAGACCTCTGAGAGCCGCCTGTCAGGAGCGTCCTGTCACCTCCACACCATGCCGGGATTCAGCTGGGTCTTCCTGAGCGCGCTCCTGCACGCTGTGGCACCCTGGGGCGCGCACCGACCGGACAGACCGAGGCAGTGCGACGCACCGAAGTCGGTGAGTCGTGTTGGGACACTTTATGAAGTCACGGATGCCACATTTCTCCCAAAACAGACCCTCATAATACATTATATGTTGTTAACCAGCCTTAACAGCCCTCAAGGGATACTGTTAAGATGGTCACACAACTTTATTTTATTGTAGTTTTCTTTCCTAAAGACATCAAGTTGGAACTATTTGGGAGACATTTTTACGTCTTGGAGGGAACAATCCCACCATCGTTTATTATTAATCATAATTGTGCTTTTAATGAGGCCAAAGTTGTTTCATTCTTCTTATTATTATTAACTGATAAAGAGATAAAATAAAATAAAATATAAAATATAAGATTATTAAAAGATGGGATCACATTTTGAGTTATTGATTGCTTGATTAATAAGAATTGCCTGATAATTAGGCTATCAAATTGGCCTTTAACCATAATAAAAATAAAAAGGACAATGACTAATACTATTTCATGTATTTAAATTAATATCAGAAATTAAACACTGTGCATTATCTTGATATGACATATGAAGTGCAGGTATTTCTTAACTTGCTCATAAAACAACTCAAAAGGAGAGAAATTAATGCACTTTGCCAAGAGAAATCATTAAAGCAGGCCAACTTCATGTATGTGAGAAAGCGCAAAGTGGGGAACACACACGGGTGACTTGAAGTTTCACTGACCTTTCAAGCGTGATTCAGTTTCAGCGCGACACACGGCCTACAAAAACACTTATCAGGGAATATTGGTGAGATTATGACTGTGGCTTGAACTCTTACTGTGAAGAAGTGCAGCAGAGCAGAGACATGAAGGAGGGAAAAGTGAGGATTAAGATAATAACTGTAGAAAAAGCATGACCTCAGCATTAGGCAAACGTTCAAATATGACACACTCTGATATCATAAGGGAGTCATTTGGATATCACGCTTTACTTTAATTAGCGCATCACATCCAACTTGGAAAACGGATTTGTTGTCAGAGATCACTGAAGACTTCGTGCTCTTTAGCCTCATGTGATTTCTAATGCGTCAGTACAGTGGTCTCTGTTTTCTGTTAGGAGTAATTACCCCCATAAAGAAAGGAGCCCAGGCTCTCCTGAAAGGTCCACGCAGCTTTAGCAGAGGGGATCTCGCCTCTCTGCAGGACACCACCACACTTTCCATGTCAGAAAAGTCTTCATTTATGGGGAAGGCTCGAAGTGCACACTTACAAGTTAATGAATGAGCATGCACACAAGAGGAAAAAAAGCTCTGCTCACGTAGTTTCCAAAAATATAACAGATAATGCACTAGGTGGGAGAAGTACTCAGATCTACATCATTAAGGTTTTAGTAGAGGAATACTCTGCCATAGGTAAAAGTCCTTCATTCATCATGTTACTTAAGTAAAAGTATTCAGAAAATAGTAAAAGTATCAAAAGTAAAAGTACTTATTCTGCAGATTGCTCCATTTCAGAATAATATACATGATATATTTTATAGTTATTGATGCTTTAAAGTGTTCTCAAAGCTGGTAAATGTGCAGCATAGTTTTGATGACTTTGTATACTGCAGGGTAGCTTGTGGATGTTACTCCAGCTGGAACTAAAGTCTGATTTAAGTGATGATTATATTTCACATCATTATTCCAAATCTGAAAAGCAACTAAAGGAACAAAATAAATGTAGTGGTGTAAAAGTACACCATTTGCCTCTGAGTTGTAATGGAGTAGAAGAACAAAGTAGCAGAAAATGGAAATACTCAAGTAAAGTACAAGTCCATCGAAAGTGTACTTAAGTTCAGTACTTGAGTAAATATACATAGTTACTTTACAACACTGCGAATGAGCACACACACAAAAAAAGCTCTGCCCTTTTAGTTTCCCTCCCCCAAAAATATGAAGGATCGTGTCTCCGTTGCTGTCCAAAGCTTTCCCGTCAGCCTAGTGTCGCCTGCACCCTGCCAATGTGGAAATTACAGTTAAAACATCTCGCTGTGTTTGAAAAGAAGAAACGCTGCTGTGAACTAAAATGTAGCACTTTCAATTGATTTTGTAGAGAGAGTTTGTGCCAGGAATGACTTGTATGTTCATTGTAGTTAATGATGATGATAACAGAACATCCCACAAGAAGACTTCACTCGCTCTTGGCAGCGTTTTGAAACCTTTTATTTGACAAAGGCAGGGTTGGCAGTGCGCAGTATAATTGGAACGCAGCTGAAGGAAATCTTGATTACATTTAAGAAGTACACATTGTCTAAGAATAACTTTATTTTACAGTAATGGGTTTCATGCCTCAAATGCCTGATTACACTGTGTCTCAGAAGCCAGAATTTTGATATTGTTTATATAAGTTAATTCTTTTTCTCATATTAAAATAATGCCAGCATCATAGTCATAACACATGCACAGCACATTTGCACAGCACTTAACAAGAAACATATTCGAAACGCAATATCGAATGTCTGATTATTTCATTTCCATCGTGAAGTTGTTTTGTATAAAGATAACCGCACTAGACAAACACTTCCTGTAATGTTAACCTCAGAGCAGTGCTGTTCTTAAGGCTGTCAGCTGCACATTTCCCCGCCTGGTGTTAAAAAGAAAATCACAAACAAAAGTATCACAGAAGGGTCAGAGAGCGGAGAGCAGCTTTCTTTCAGCTTTTGGCTTTTATGAGCTCCAGTGCAGTATATTTGCACTGCAGCTTTCAAAATGCTTCCCAGGCCGAAAGAGGCTTTGGCAACGGAGGTATGCACCTCAACAATACACGGGGGTCTGTTTACAGCCCAGAAGGCCCCTCTATAAACCTCTGCCCGCTCCATCGCAGCAAGCCAGAGCTGACTAGACTTCCCCTGCCGTCATCTCAGAATTTCAATCTTTAACTTGTTGACCCAGGCTTATTAGCCAGTAAACCACAAAAAGGGAAAAATGTGTCAGCTTTAGTTTGCTTGAAATGGTGGTTCTGTTGCCTTTGCTCTCCATATATAAACATTCATCTCTTACTTTCATCCACAGCAAAGTGACATGAACTCTTTCCTGTGGCGGGTAAAGCGTGCGCCTCCTCACCCACCCTCTTACTTATTTGGTACCATCCACGTGCCCTACAGTCGGGTCTGGGACTTTATACCCGACAGATCCAAGCAGGCTTTCCACAGCAGCCGCAACGTTTTCTTCGAGCTGGACCTGACGGACCCTCTGACCATCTCCAAGCTGACCAACTGCCAGCTGCTGCCCCACGGGGAGAGCCTGCAGACGCTGCTACCTCGAGACCTGTACCGCCGCCTCAAGCGCCACCTGGACTACGTCAAACACATGATGCCTTACTGGATGACCTCAGATCAGCGGGGTCGTGGACTGTACGCTGACTACCTGTTCAACGCCATCGCAGGGAACTGGGAGAGGAAGAGGCCGGTGTGGGTGATGCTGATGATCAACTCGCTGACGGAGTGGGACGTCCGGTCCAGAGGGACGCCCGTGCTGGACCTGTACCTGGCCCAAGAGGCTGAGAGGATGGGGAAGACGACAGGGGCGGTGGAGCGGGTGGAGGAGCAGTGTCACCCCCTCAACGGGCTCAACTTCTCTCAGGTAAGAGGCGGAATTCATATATTTTGTTGATTTTATGCATTTGATTCCCTGTGTGTTTAAAGCTGAAGTTGAAATTGCAAGAACATATCAGACCTAGAGGGGGCATGGGCAGATCATATCATATGTATCATTTTCCTGTCGTAAAGCGGCCCTCAAGAGAAGCAGGTTGAGCAATTTAAGCGCAGTGGAAGTTTACAGATTTTGGATATTTCACAATCTCTGAGATAAAGAGTTAGAGAATGTGAAAGAAGACAATACAGAAGAAAAAAATCTGTTTTAAAGCCGTCTTGAGGCAGGTTTGGGGTTATGGATGTCCATCCACCTCACTGAACAAACACTCAACAGCTGAATGTTCAGAGAGGGTGTCAGGCTGAGCAATGCACATGCAGAACAGATTAGAGAAGGTGAGATCTCTGTTTCATTAACAGACTGTCCGGCTGCCTCTCTGAGGTATTGTTGGACGCTAGCACTGTAATCGGAGACTGTTACATTTTTTTATCTTGTCTGATTATAAATAATTCATAATGCTTCTTTCTAGTCATCCGTCTTTTTGAGGTCATTTTAGTTTGAGTCTGCTTTTTCAAACTGTGTGAGGTCCCGCAAAAATCTGCAAAATCTGCGATGAGCCACGCAGAGGAAGCTCCGTTCAAATGTATGATCTAATGCGACCTTTGATCTACACTAAGGAGAAAAACATCTCAGGGTGTGTATTCATGCAGCACTCACAACCTCACACATGTGCTCTGCACGCACGGCACCCCACACACGAAGACACACTGTACACACGCAGAGCTCCATACATGCACATCGGCCGTGCCTAAGCCTCCATGTGACAGGTCCGAGGGCTCCGGGGCTAATTTGAGAGGCCGTGGGCTCCCAGCCTCTCCTCTTTCATCAGCACATCCTAACTACGCTGTCAAAGCCACGCTGCATGCCCTTTGCACATGCCTGGGAGCTTTACTGCCCCTCCAAATAAGCTCAGCAAGAAACACAGTTATGAAGTGGGGACGTGCTAATGCCGTTCTGTAATCTGTACCCAGGTATGTCCTGCAGACAGAGGTGTGAGAAGTACTCAGATCTTATATTTCAGAATTATATATTTTAAATATTATAATCATTGATGCATTAAAGTGTTATCAAAGCTGGTAAAGGCAGCTAGTTTTAATGATTGTATTCACTGCAGGGCTTGTGAATTTACTCCGGATGTAACTAAAGTCTTATTAAAGTGTTTATATTTCACATTATGAATCCATATCTGCAAAGTAACTAAAGGTATTTAATATATGTAATGGAGTAAAAGCTCACAATAATCCTCTGAATTGTAGTGGAGTCCAGCTAGCAACAAATTGAAAAACTAATGTAAAGTACAAGTATCTCAAAATTGCACTTCAGTACAACACTTAGTGACTCGATACCACTGCCTGCAGAGGTGTTGTTTTCATGAGATTTATGCTTCTTTGTCTATATAAAGTAGTCCCAGTCTAACTGTCTCTAATGCTGATCTGTATTTAGTGTGGCTCCGTACGGCAGTTGCCCCTAAAAACAACACTGTTTTGAGTTACATCGTAACAGGGTTGAGTTGCAGTACAGCGTCCAACTATAGAGAGCCGTGTTTATGTTTCCCGAGCACATCTTTTCGACTATATTAAGCATAATCTATCGATCTAAAGGGGAAAGAACAAGCCCTGAATTTACAAGAGATGGTAACATTTTTACAAGACAGATGTCCAAATTCAGATAAGAATTGTATTGCCATGAAAATCCAGTCAAAATCGGATCAAGGATAACTTAAATGTCACCCCACCTTCTGAGCCACCAACCCCCTCCTTTACCAAATCTGTCTGAGAGCTGAACTGAAGCTGACATGGAAACCATTATTCTCAATTATAATAATTTGTGATTTAATCTGAACAATATGGCTGATAGAGTCCCACTACGCTTGACTGTAACACGGATGAGGTCAGGAGGAAGAGTCAAAGAGAAAAATTCCTGGTTGGGAATCAGAACAAAGAGAAATGAGACACACAGTGAGAGAAGTCAGAGATTGACTGGGGAGTAAGTGAAAGTGTAAAGGCGGGCTTGAAAAAGCAGGAAGACTGATGTGCATCGTCCCACCGCTAACGCTAATCTGAAACATGAGTGACTTTAAAGGCAGATCTGAGATGGGAACGGTTCCAAACCCTGACGGCCCACATATTATTTGTTCCCAATAAAAGCAGTTGCTTACAATATCCTGTAACTCCGACTTCAACGAGAGGCTCTTTGAAACGTGAACGCCGGTGATTCATCATCCGTCACACTGTCGGGTTTCTCAAAGGCACCTGGACCGGGTGGTGCCAGCGCAGTGAGGCGAGAACCTCTGCTAGACCTGAGGTAATGGTCCAGGTCTGCAGGTTAGCTGTGACCTCATCTCTCTGGGATATGAGGAGGTGGAGCGGATGTTTTATTGCGGCGACCTTCAGCTTGTAGGTCTGATGTCGGCGGCAAGCGTAGGAGGGACGTTTGGAGTTCCCGAGTCTTCCTTAGAGCGCTGAGGTCTCAAACAAGAGCTGAGTCTGTCTGAGATCCCTCTGTGCGCTGCTCAGATCTCAGCGAGGTGTGGATGTCTCTGTGAGAGGCAGTTTAGAGCTCGTGAAAACAAAGGCTGCTCGCGGCGCATGGTTCTTCTCCAGCTCTTTGGAGGCCGATGCAGGTTGACAGCGGGGCGGGACGACCAGTACCAAATGTCTTCAAGTAGCGAGTGAGAACAGCTGGAGAAAGCTTTATCTGTTCGGAGGCTGCACAGCTACAGGAGGGGAACCATGTGCAGTTTCCTTACCGGGAGGTGGATCAATTAACCCTCTTGTTGTGTTCCGGTCAATTCTGACTGATTTACTTATTTCATCAATCATATATTGTGTTTTACATTTGATTGCTTCAAGGCCTTATGATATCCTCCACTGCAGGCATTTGGAAATATACAATTGCTGCTCACCACTTTTATTCAATCTGAATGGTGAACTTCGTACATCTATGGTCTTCCAGGTCAAAAATGGCCTCCAAAAGAAATGAATGGTTACTTTAGATTCTGTTCATCCATCATACATACCCACACATTGACAACATTTTAGACTATATTTTCAGTGTCTATTCTTTGTATATTCACTGCAGTTATTCATGTAAACCAGAAGTCTGATACATAGTTTACAGCTTAAAAGGGTGTTAAATAAAATGTGTTGATGATTAATGTTTTTTATTGTGTAAGAGCTGTTAAAACAGACCGGTCAAATTTGACCTGGAACACCAGAGTAAAGGGGGAGAAACAAACACGACAGGAGGGTTAATTAAATCATGACTTCAGGTATCTAAAATAATAAATCAGAAGATGCAAGGTGATGAAATGGAGTGGTCTCAGCATCACAGAGGTACAGTGTAATAATGGTGCTTAGAACCAAACCACCGTGGTTTATTTGTCTGTTTGTGGAGTACAGATGTGGTACGAAAACCTCTGTAGTGCAAAGCTGCATTTAGGAAAGTCCAGGGCGGCTCCGACCTGTGGGCCTCCCTCACTCCCACCAAATAAACACCCATATTTATTTTGCCTGGGTCGCATTGCAGCCGAGGCCACTGGCCCATGGCGGAGAGAAATTACATCATATCGGTGGCGCCTGTCTCCTGGACAGGGGTCAGAGGTCGCGGCTGGAGGAGGTGGTGGAGCCGTGGAGCAGCAGAGCAGAGAGGAGAGTCTGGAGGGTCAGATTGATACCTGCGCAACCTCCGACCAGTTTACAGCAGCTCAAGCTATTCTGTGTTTAGACTTGTGCAACTGTGTGTGTGGGTGTGTGTGTGTGTGTGAGGGGGGGAGAGAGAGAGAGAGAGAGAGAGAGAGGGAAATTTAGTTTTGTTTATTATTATCTACATTATATAATTATCATCCAAAGTTTACTTTCATTATTATTACCAACTTTGTTTATTATTTCTTATTAGTTTCTTCGTTAGTTGTTTTCCTATTCTTTGGCAAAAATATTTGATTGAAGATTTTATAGATTTGCCAATAAATGAGACTAAGAATCAGGATTATTGCCAAGTAGATGTATGCATACAAGTAATTTGCTTTGGAGTATAATGCTGCACACATAAACACAGTAAGAAGAATGAAGTTTAAAAAAAGCAAATATAGTATATTATGAAACTATTGAAATTACTAATAAATTATGACTTTGAAAAAAAAAAAAAATATGTGCAGTATGTCAGAGTTTAAAAGTGGAAGAGTTGTGCAGTTTTAAAGAAGTAGCACTGTGCAAATATGTGTACAAATTCACAGGATGTGCAATAATGTAACGCATAATGGAGCAGTTAAAGGGTCTGTGTCAGTGAGGGTCCCGGGCCTTGTTGTTGAGGCCAGTAGCTAACGGGAAGAAACTGTTTTAGTGGCGTAAGTTTTTTGGTCCTGATGGACTGGAGCCTCCTGCCAAGCATACAGAAAAAAAATGAAATTGACTCTCTGTACATCCCAGTGTTGTCCCCTGAGGGGCTGCAGAGGGGAGGGGGTAAATGTGGTAGGTGACAGAATCCGGTCTGATACGGTACATCAAGAGGTAACCTTCCTCTGTTCACAGCTCCAGTGACAACCTGACATGTTATTTTCTATGAGTTAATCATCTCTTCTCCGGGGAAGACGTCGGGCTGAGGCGCTGGTTTGTGCTGACACTGCCGTTTCTCACATGCTGTGGTCACAGTAGGACCCTCTCAGGCCCGGAGATGTCTTTTTTAATAGGATAATAATATGAAATGTGATTACTTCTCGCTTTTCCAGTATATGTATGACAATATATAATGAAAAGTACATGGCGCTAGCAACCACTGCATGTACACACAGCGGTCATAACGTGAATCAATTGTCTGTTTTGGCCAGAGCTGTTCCCCGTAATCATGTTTAAACCCTGCATTTCCCATAAGTCGTTATTACTTTATACGATATCCAATTTGATTTGTATTTGTGTTTGGTTTTCCAACTCAGT